GATTCTAAATACGAATGCAAAATTAAAACTTTAATCTTCCCAAATAACATTTATATCACTATTTTTTTCTATCCAACTTTTTGTTATAATCTTTTAATTTCCATATAAAGTTACTTACTAAAATTTTATTATGTCAATTGCTAATATTGCTTTTTTTAATAATATCTTTCACAAAAACGTACGCTGCCAATTACATATTAATGTAACTGCTTTAATACGTTCTAATTTCTACAAGCTCAAGTCAATCATTACACGTATATTATGAAAAATCTTTTATGTAGTCAAAGAAGTGATGTCTCTTCGCGTTTTACACGTGAATACGTGAAGAATATTTGTACATATATGCAGTAAACACATACGTGTACGAGAAATCCAGTTTGCCACAAGTTTTTGCAAAATGTGTTAGTGTGCACGGACAGTGATTCCTGGACAACGTGATGCAATTATGCAATGAACTGGTCAACCCCTACTCTCCCTTCTCTTCTGCTTCCATCGTGCCTGCCTGCCCTCCGTATGCTCTTACATCGCCCTCGAGGCTCGAGCATCGTCAATTGTATCGCTGACCTTGAAGCTCTTGAAGAGATCACACTCGCGGCCTTGCAACTTCCAACACTGTTCTCGCTTACTGCTCACAGATCACGTTCGGCATTCTTCGGAACGTGAGCCTGCCGGTTGCTTACATTGTTGCACCGTGAGTACAACTCTGTTCCAGTCCCAAGGAATGTTATCTCTGATGTTACGAAGGAGTCCTTGGACTTCTCTTAATGAAATGAATCTCTATGACATTGTTGTTGAAATTTTCTATATCTTTTGATTTGAGAAATTTCTCGGGTTTGAAAGTTTTTTTTCGGTTTAAAAATATTTAAGATTTTAAAGATATTAAATAGGTTAAAGATATTAAACTTTTTTGTTAACAAACATAACTTCATTACATCAAAGAGGAATTGATTAAGTAGAAAAAATATTATAATAATGTGTAAATGATAATGAATATGAAAAAAAGAAAGAGTAAAGAAAGAGGTACATCACACAGCTTCGCTTGTTGCCACACCTGCCGCTCGTAACTCGTCTGACATCCAGACATCCTCATTGCCGAAAACAGAAGCCGTCTGCCAGAATTGGTCGGTTGTACCGGTATCTCATAACGGCTCGCGCCGTGAAAACAGCATTTTAAATTGCATGGTTATATCGATATCTTATTAACAACGGAACGTCCAGAAGTTCAGGGCAACTTCTGGATATACTTCCGCATTTCTGGAAAGCGCAGTAGAAGAGGCATGAGTTCAAGAAAATAACATTTATGCTTCCGCTTCCGCTCATCATTCGCGTCATTAATATTGAATATTTTATTATTCAACTATCAATGTAAATCAATAAAATTCCTTCATGAGATTTTAGACACAAACTGTTTATGATTAATGACAGTAAAGATTTTATCAATAATAATAAAAGAATAGAGGTATATTATATTGTGTTGAAATATAATTACGTTGAACGTAATAACCTTCTCCGCCTGATTAATGATTAATATTTCAAATATATTTTTTTATTTCTTTTATCTATAGACTTCTTCAAATTTATTATTTTAAATCATTATAATTTGTTATAGAATTATTATAAATTTTGATGTGAAATACAACAACCAGTGTTATGACAATTCTATTTTTTACATTTATTACACTAACTTTTGACGTTCAAACCTGTGATTTACTTGGATATAAATGAAGAATATATTGTAATATTAAATTTAAAGCACGACAAATCCTGCTTGGCATCTTTTTTCATAATTATTTCATTAAAAAATTTTTATATATATTAATCTCTTAATTTTAAATAAAATTTTGATGCAAAATAGAATTCTGAACGGGAATTATAGATTGTTTAAAATGGGCTTTGTCGATATTGATGTTAAAAGATGGGCGCTTCTTCGTATATTATAATGATTATCATCATTATTAGAGGAGAAAACTATTTATCCCAAAAAACAAAAAACAAAATATGAATAAGTACGACCATATAAATGGTATACATAAAATAAAATAAATATTTTTTCAGTTCCGGTTTTCCGAAGCGCGGTGTATATGAGATATAGGTGAGTTTTCCGCTCTTGCGCACTATCGACTGCGGTCGTGTATGAAAGGAGGTGGGGTACTTAGAATCTCTGCGGTCTGCTACATCTATTTATAGCATGCGCCGTACACTAAAGCACACGCGTGCACGTGTACAACCACATTGGTCGCCGTGCATAACGGGCTTTTATACGTTGCACTGGATATTCCTCTCGTAGATTCCAGGCAGAGCCTGCGCATTTCTTTCACCCCTCCCCCTCCTCCCTTCCTCCGTCTTATTCACGCTCTCGCTCTCTCTCTCTCTCTCTCTCTCTCTCTCTCTCTCTCTCTCTTTTCGTTATTCACCTTCTCTTCTTTCTTACCACACTTATGCACGCGTGCGGAACACACGTGCATCGCGTATACACGCGCCGCGTGTGTTCCTTTACTTTCTTCGTCGTGTTAGACACGTCTTAGGACGATATAAGTTACGCGACTTCCCGAAGGCGCGACAGAGATTTTAAGAAAAATTGTGAAGGATGGCGATCGACGTAACTTTGAAATAAGAAGGCAAAGATATACTGACATAACTTGTCAAGCACTTATATCTTATAGATTGTTACATTTTATTATTCTAGTAATAATTACTTTGTCATTATTATTCATAACAATATATAACTCGATAACGAACGCGCACAAATACACACACATAATGTTAATTCGATGTTAAATATATGTACATTTAATATTTATAATTCATTTTTATGAACATTTTATTATCAATTAAAATTTACGAATGTCTGCTAAGTTAATATCAAATTGTGATTTGCAATTCACAATTCGTAATAGATTTACAGAAATTCGTCTAGTATAAACTTTCTACATTATTTGCAATTCATGATTCATCCTGATTGCATAATATTGGTTCCAAATGAATTAATAAATAAAATTAATTAATGCACATCCTTTGATTTTGTTAAAAAATCACTTGGTTGGCAAATCAGCACGAATAGTAAATAACGAATGCGAATTTGATGAATTTGCTATTCTCGAATTTCATATAAGTAATAAATTATAAATTGCAAAAATCACTCATAATCTGGCTATTTTATCGCCATCGTTCAAGAGCATCAAAGCATTTTCTGAATAGAATATCAAACAGAATAGATACTCGATGCTTCATACAATGTAAAAATAATTGACGAAAGATAACGATGACTTTGTTTTATACTCTGTTTTTTTTAATCTTTGCAGTAATTTGTATTCGTGTAAACAATTTATTAGCGTGTATGAACACTACGGATCAAGAATTTAGAAACATTTTTTGACATTTTTGGAATTACTCACTCAAAAAAATATTTATAACAATTTGTTTTTTAACAATAATTTTTCAGGTTTAATAATTGTTATTGGATCTGGAGAATATATTAATGTTAAAAAACACATCGTTATGAATATTAAAGTAATCTCACAAATATTTTTTTTATGTTTCTAAATTTTTAACGGAGTCTCTAGTGGAAAAATTTTATGAAAAATTACATAAATTGAGACAAGTTCTTAGAAATTCTTAGTTTTTCATAGATATTCGTAAAGTATTGTTTGTTTGAGAAATCAAGAAATCCTTTGCCCTCAAACAGTAATTAAAAAAAGAAATGTTTAATTTTAAGATATTAAAATGTTTTACTCTTGACTCCATTTTTTAAACACTTAAAGATGTTTTAATTTTAAACATTTTTAATAGACAAAACATGTTTTGATTTAAAACATATAGTGTTTTATAACACGTAGTGTTTTATCTATTGAAAAAGTTTAAAATTAAAACATCTTTAAGTATTTAAAAAATGGGGATAAGAATAAAACACATTTCTTTTTACAGTGCACTACGAATATCTATGAAAAATTAAAAATTTCTAAACTCACTCCCTACTACAAATATTTAGGAAAAATTAAAAATTACTAAAATCTTGTTCCAATTTATATATTATAGTCTTACAATGCTTTTTCGTAAACATTTTTTTCCGCCAAAAGTGTATACTCTCATGAATAACACAAAAAAACCAAGAAAAATAAATTATTTTTGTTAAGCGAAAGAGATTATAGTACCCTCTATCGCTATTTTTATCAACTTTCTACTGTAAAGATCGTGATATAGCGTATTACCTATTGAAAACATTTGTGGACATTGCTACATAATTCAATGTACCTACACGTTTTATCCACATAGAAGAGCAAGTGACAGAGAAATATTTGAGGCCAGTATTTATAATCGGATCTTATATTTAAAACTGTCTTAAATATAATCTTAAGAAGTTACGAATTAATCAGAGGACCGTATTAGCATTTTAAAACATTACTTAAGATCTTGAAATAACAGACTATGAATATCGATCTATGAATACCGCTCTGAGAGAAAACGTATCCGTGTTTTAAATGGAACTCATTTATTAACATCTCTATGTGCGTAACCACGAATATGAGGTAATACATTTTTCATTTGTTTTCGTCTGTTACATATTGTATACATTGATTGATTCTATTCATGTTGTATATGTAATTGCGTAACAATTTAACAATGCATTATAAGAAAATAAAAATTAAAATAATTTAAACCTAAAAGAGATATTTAAAAAAGCATAATGTATATTTTAATAATGTTTCTAAGCAAAACATATCGAATAAAACGCAATAGAAAAAAGATTAAATATAATATTATTATCTAGACATTTATTACAGATAAATGTACAAGCAGTTTTAATTTTTTAGTTTTGTTTTAACCGATTGTATAATTTGTTTTAACCGATTGTTTTGGCTGATAATATAAAAATCTTAAAATTTTTTTTAATCGTTGGTTAGTTCGAATAATTGTTATATTATTATTATAAAATATATTGTGATTAATGTGAAATATATATTATAGGAAACATATAAATATATTGCTGTATGTACAATGTATTCATATATAGATTTTTTTATTCTTACAACACACAATTGTACAACAACTTACAACAATATGTAACTCACAATCAGTACATATATACAGATTCATGTCTAGACATGAATAGCGATTAAAGTATTAGGAATACTTTTCTTCGATTTGTAAGCGTGGAGAGGACGTCGTGTTTAAATTTAATTACATTTTTCATTCTTAATTATTATAAATCATATATTTTTCGTATGTGTACATATGAGTATTTAACACGCACGTATATCTGAGTATTTAACAGAATAATCGAACAGTCTTACTGTAAAGAACAGAAAAATTAAAGCTCAAATCAAAGTTCTCAAGCGAAATCATCAAACACACATTACTGCAAAATGCAATATTATTTCCGATGAGTCGTATAATTGATGATTCTCTTCGGCTAAGATTAAAAAAATTGTCAGCTCTATAATTTAGTCTGTCAGATTTTTCCATATAATTCCTTATATGACGAAAATATATCCAATTAAATTCTAATGTGTTAAATCCATTTGTGAAAATATGTGGCAGCATATCTATGTGAAAATCGGGTGACATAACATTAACGATTATCACGCGAGATTTATAGTTTCTCTCCGCTAAGATTGAGCACATTATAATATGAGTGATCCGGAAATCTGTCGAGCTCAATATAGTCTGTCTCATCAAGCAGCAAGCTTTCGGTCAGGTTAACGAGCTCGGCAAAAGATGGTCTGCATGCCGAATCCTTGTCCCAGCAATAATACATAATATTATAGAGCTCCCTTTTACAGTGCTCAGGTCTGTCTAATCTGTAGCCCTCTTTGATCTTTCGCATTACCTGTAGAAAAATATTCCGATGTAATATATAAAAGAAAACATCATTTAATTGCCATACAATTACTTTTTATAATTGATTTAATTCTTCTAATTTAATTTATCTTAAATTTATCTTTAATTTTGTTAATTTCATTTAAGTATCGATTTTTACTTTAATTTTTAAATTCAACTAAATTTTATCTAATTTAATTTAATTTTACAACATTTATTTTTTGACTTGAATCATTTAATTAGATCATATATACAATTACACTATTTTAAATCGAATTAAATTGATTCAATCAGAGAACAAAATATAATAAAAACATCAAAGAAGCTAATTAACAAATTTAAATAAAAATTAATTCAAGGCCGAGCAAGTATAAATTGTACAATGTTGCAAATAAAATAAATATATTAAGAATAATTACATACAGATATATAACTATAGATGAAATAGTACCATTTATGATTATATATCTTTGTTATTATTAATATATTTATTTTATCAATAACGTTCTTTATATTTATTCGGTTTTGGCATTTAATTAATCTTTATTCGAATTTTTTCTTACAATATTGAACCGCTGCTCAGATTTTGTGTTAAGTCAATTAAATTAACAATATTGATAAAGAAGATTATATTATATTATATATATTAATACCTCTGCGGCAGCGAGTCCAGGATATGGTGTTGATCCTAATGTTACAATCTCCCAGATGAGGACGCCGAAGCTCCAGATATCCGATTTAACGGAGAATATGTTATCATATAAACTTTCAGGTGCCATCCACCTAATCGGTAATCTACCTTCCGATTTTCTCTCATAAATCTGATTAGCCGCTACGTCTCTGGCAAAACCAAAGTCCGCTACTTTGCACGCGCGATTTTCGTCGATCAGAATATTCCTGGCGGCTAAATCTCTATGGATGATACCCTTTGATGCCAGATATTCCATACCTTTGGCGATCTATAAATAATAAATTTAATTAGTTAAGGAGAATGGTCAATAATAAGCATAAAAATACAATCAAAGACAAATAATTTATTAAGACATTTATAATATATCAATGGAAAGATAAAAAGTTCTTACAATTTTTAATATATGATATATATGATATTATATTCTTCTTAATTAATTGTTGTACAGATTCGAGCAGGTTATTTATCTATTTTTGTTAATAAATTAAATTTCAAATTAATTTTATCAGCTGGCTGTTATATTCTTACAATTAGTTAAAGATTTACAATTCGATTGACTTACTTGATACACAAATCCAGTAAGATCCCTTGAAGTTAATCCTGCACCTCCATGATTTCTCTCTTCTCTGGAGGCTCTGAGGAAACTCTGCAGCTTGCCGCCACTGACATACTCCAGAATGACGAACATGGGTTCCCGTTCAGTGCAGCATCCTAGAAGCCGTACAACATTGGGATGAGGATCTAAATTCTTCATGACACGTAGCTCTTGTGCAAGATCCAGTCGTTCTCTCTCGGCGGCATTCTCTTTCAGAGTCTTCACCGCTACAATTGTGGGGCCAGATTTGCCATCGATACCTAGGGCTTCGCATTTCCATACCTGGCCAAAACAACCCTCCCCAAGGATGTTGAAGACCTAGCAATAATTAACTAATCAATTAAACGAGAACGGCTTATTTAATTAGTTAGAACTTAGTTTAAATAATTACTTGGGACTATAAACTTGGAACATATTACTTGGAAATTTATTTATTTAATACATTTATGAATTCATGAAATAATTTGATTGTCTAGTTAAGTTAGCTGTTTGATAACTTTAAGGGCCCTTTTTGGTCTAGAATTTTCAAAAAAATCGAATTTTTTTTCATAAATCGATACATTAAAGTATCTAGAATAAGATTTTAAGGTGTCTAGAATAAAATAGAGGCTAAATTTTTCTTGTTGTATTACTTTAAACATGTTATTAAAATAAATGCGTTTTTCTCGAAACCACGTTTTTTAAATCGCCATACAAAACTCCCACACTAATAATTCAATTAATTTGAATTTCGGTACACATGTTTGAATTAAGTGTCGCTACTGCAGAAACTAATTTTATGTTAAGGATAATTTAAATAGGTTTTTTAGTATACAACGAATAAAACACAGAAATTTCAAGCGAAAAAAATAACTTTTTTTTACAACACTCTCATTTAGTGAAAAATTATTATTTTTTATTTTCCTTAATTCATACAGTGACAGGAACTGATTATAATTAATTATAAAAAATTTTGATTTTCTATTCTAGTTCTAGACACTAAATTTTTTACAACAGTGGAGATCCCCCCGGAAATTTTGACACCACCTTGGGCACCATCTATGTTAAATATAATATTTAAGAAATAAATACGTAGCACTTATGTTAACATGTCAAGAAAAAAGATCTTAAACTATCACACACTTTGATTTCACCATTTATCTACGACCTATTTTTGAAAAACACTCAATTTTACGTCCTCTAGACAGAGAAGAGCGCTTAATAATATAACAATACTCATGGAATTAATTATCAGTTTCGTGATCAATTAATTATCAAGTATAGAGTGATGATCACACCTTTAATCTATGTCTGGGAAATTCCCATTTATCTTCTTGTTTACTCTGAATGCCTGCTTGGAATTCCTTCTCCCATGGTTGGTAACGATTGTTACGAGTCTTTGGACCTCGCCATCTCTTCAGGACGAGAGAAGGCTCGTCTGATAAATTAGAAACGCTGACTGACGCTTGTCCCTTCTGAAAATCCGATTCAATCTTATTAAATACCTTGTTTGAAATTTATGTAAAAATTAATATGTTTTTATTTTCATAAAAAAGATTACATGTTCCTTTTTTTAAATCAATCTTATTTTGAGTACCATGTTCACCTTGGATTTGCGATTACTGCAAAATTTATTTCTCAGGGACCAGGCACCTAGACCAAGACCTACAACAAGGGCGCATCCAGCTGTTATGGGTACCAACGTCATCGCCATATCTTGTGAAGGCGGCGCAGCGGAAGGTGCAACCTTCGAGCTTAATGCAGGAGTTTCTACTTCGTTTATCCGGACGCTTTCTTCTGTACTGACAGTACTAACAGTACTAATGGTATTGCTGTTGACGTTACTGTCATTCTCCTTAGGTTTTATTCTCTCCAACTCAAGTTTTGTAATTTCAGGATGATATTGTTTCGGCGGGGGTAAAGGCGGCGAGGGGAAGGATGACAGATTTGGTAGGAACGGCGGTCGTATTCCGCTACCGGAATTAGGTTGATTTAAATATGGTACCCTGTCAAAAAGTTAAATCAGGAAGAATTTTTTAAATAAACAAATCTAATCTCTGTGTATGTGTGTGTGTGTGTGTGTGTGTGTGTGTGTGTGTGTGTGTGTGTGTGTGTGTG